TGCTGCTGAGTCTCCTGGGAGGTGAAAGGGTGGTGAGAGGGGCAGCTTGCAAGTATGTGCAGGCCCCTTTGCAGCTGCTAAGGGACCCAGACCTCATCCTGCAGGACGGGCATGAAGCTGGGAGGGCTACTGCGGGTTTGCCCTGTAAGTCAGCCCCTCCAGCTTCTATAGGAGGGGTGGACAGGGGAGCCCAAATGAAGGCAGGGAGACCCCAGGGCAGGGCACAGAAGTAGTACTGGTGAGAGGAGATGGGGCTCCAGCCGGGACAGAGGAAGCAGGCTGTGCAAGAGGGGTTGGTTGAAAACATTGGTAGGTAGGGCAACCTGCTCGGCTCCCCTTCCACACGGTGGAAGCTTGTTCTTTCGCTCTTTACAATAAATCTTGCTGCTGCTGAAAAACAAAAAACAAAAACAAAAACATTGGGAAGTAAAAGCAACAGGATGGGAGAGGGGGGTGGGATGAGGAGGGAGCAGAACTGCCTGGTTTTCAACACCTTGCTAAGTCCAGGAGGCAGCTGGAGAGAGGGCTGGGTGGGGGCAGGCAGTTCCTAGGGTGCCACGGCACCAGCAGCACCTAAGATCTCCACCCACGTTCACTCAGTCCACAAAACACGAGGCCCAGCACACACCAGGCACCCAGATCAAGCACAGGTGGCAGCCTTCAAAGAGCTGATTTGCATGGGAGTGTGGGAGTGTGGGATAATTAATAATAAATATAATAAGGAAATCATATAGAAAGTGGAAATGGGAAGGGTTGTGGGTGGGGGGTGCAGAATGCTGCGGATATCCTAAGGAGATCCCCCAGCGCCAGCCCCATGCCCATAGTTCTCTTGGCTACAGGTGGCACCTGTGACTCGAATCTGAGTAGAACTGGGCGGAGGGGGTGGCATGTCACCCACAATTAGGTTCTGTTCCATAGGACTCCATCTGGGGGTGGGGCTCTCCCTCGGACCCTGGGGAAGTGACCACCCTGTGAACTGCCCACCCTCGCAGATGGCCACAGTAGGCAGCCACCGGGAGCTGAGAACAGTTCCTGCTGGCCCTGGGTCCTACAAGCACCAGGACATGACTTCTGCCAGCAATCGCATGAGGTGGAAAGCAATCCTTCCCCAGTCCAGCCTCCAGATGAGAACACAGCGGCTGACCTGAGCTGAGGACCCAGCTAAGCCTGGCCTTCTGGCCCACAGAAGCCTTGAGATAACAGGCGGATGTCGTTTTAGGACACCCAGTTTGCGGTACGTGGCGGGCCTGGCGGCGCAGTGCGATCTGGCGGGCAGGAAGTGGAGTGAGCGCAGCCAGCGCTGGGAGCATATCCCGGAGCGCTGCCTACGGCGGGAGGAGCCGCAAGGGCCGCGGAGTGGG